TTTACGATCACGTTACTTAATGACTAATTATGATATCGTAATGGAACTTTCACTGAAAAATTTTAATTTAACTGTTCTTTTTCATGATATACTTGAACAATTATTTTTTTTAAATATTTAAGTACTTAAAAACTGAAAAACAAATTCAAAATTGTATGTATATCATTTAATTTGTTTACTGTCTTAAGGTCAAAATTTCAAAACTTTTTTTTTATTCTTATACGTCATCATGTTATACTTGTTTGATTTATAACTTTTTTTTTTTATATATAGGTAACCTCAAAGTTTGGAATTTTATTTAAAAGTGATATATTTAAGCCTATAACTTTTTATCAAATGAATAAAAAATTCTGAAATTTTTATAACACTTACCTATATGTATGTAGAACATTTGGTAAACGTTTTGTAGTGGAAAATTGTTTTCACTAGGATCTGTAAAACTTAAAATTTCTCCAATTTTGTATTGTAGGACTACAAAATTAAAAAAAAAATTTTTTTCACTTTTCTGATTTTACGGAACTACCTGCATAGGATATGTAAATTTGAGGCATTTCGAAAATCCACTCGCACACACATCAGATGGTTTGGCGTAGAATGACCCAAATACAATACCTTCTCAGCTATCGTATCGAAGCTGAAATAGTTGAAACTTTTATAATTACTTTACTCTACCCATCTCCATGTTAGCACATAAACTGTAAATGGACAGTTAGCATTTTAGAAAGCAATGCATTTCGGATAGAACAAAATCGATTTATTCGTTTCTCGTTACTACAATATAATATACAATATAATATTATCTCGCAAGATAAAACCGATGAAAAAAAAAACAATTTGAAATTTTACTGACGATCCTGTTGAAAACCCGAAGAATATTGAGAAAAAAAATATAGTGCAACAAACAACACTAACGACCTGGTCGGTGGAGCTATCGTCGAGCCAGAGATAAACAGAGAGAGAGAGATAGAGACAGAGGTAAAGAGAGAGAGAGAGAGAAAGAGTGAAAAAGTAGGAGACAGAGATAGAGAGAGAAAGAGAGGGAGAGAGATAGCGGTAGAACGAAGAGGGGAAGAGCATAGAGGGGAAGAGGGTATAACGTGTGCTGTTAATATTCCAACAACGACCTATTCGACGTCGACACTAATTACCAGTGACATTATCGCTGCGACGCGGTCACCCCCCCATCCCTTAACTCGCCACCCCTTCTATTTCCCACCCCCTCCACAACGCGCCCCAATCATCAACCCCCGCATTGATATTCCGCCGGCGACAACATGGCCGCCGCCGTGTCCTTTATTACACACACACACACACACAGAAACCCACCCCTACGCCGCGCGGCCTTTGGACCCCGACCCTCCCCTCACCACCCCATCAACCCCTGGTCGTTCGGGGACGCCGAGGTGGCGAAAAACGCTCATGCGCCTACAACAACACCTATGTATGTAGTGTAGCGTATCGGATGAATACCACTGTGTGTGTGTGTGTATCTAAGGGCGAATTTATATTCTCTTCGCGGCGGTTAAGGGGATGGGAAAGGAAGGTTTACGACTTTCTTTTTTTTTTCACAATATGCGCCTCTTTTCCGCCTCTAAAAATATATTGATTCTACCCCCACCCCCGCCCGACCGGTCTCCGACCCTCCCCGTCGTCCCCGCGCCCTTAGTAACCCCCCCCCCCTGAACAGCAGCATCCCCGGAGGCACCGGACGGCCAAGATTGCCGTCTCAGAATGTCGCGGGGCATAAAAAAAACAAATCTTCCCTTCCCACCCTCTCGTCTCTCGGTATTGTTCTCGCACACAAAGACGTTACACGCCGACGTTTAGCTGGCAAAATAAAAAAAAAACCGTGACAAAATCCGACTTCGGTTCGTTTTCCTTCGAGTCAGCCCTTAGGGTGTACCGTGGACTATTGAAAAAGAAAAAAAAAAATGTCAATACATTGGTTTAGCGTAAGACGTTTGTCGTTCTCTTTGAGAATTTTTGGCGGTTTTTCTTTTTGAAAATTCAAGTCTAGGATCGAATCGCGTGAAAACCCCAACCTAAACACTAGATGAGGTCATGGATCGTCTCGTCGCACTTGATGCAATTAGTCCAAAACTAGAAAAAAACATGAAACAAATCCACTAAGATTATTTCCAGAGCAGAGTCCTGCGTCGAATTCATACGCAAAAACCTTCATACAGCACTAACAACAATTATTCGAGATCTCAGATATTTCATACCGGGAAAGGAAGCAATGGATGAAAAACAGAAGATTCAGCTGACAAAGACGGATGGAGAGAAGGACCAAATGTTGACCGGTCGATAATCATTTTTGAATAATAATTACTCATAAAGTTTTCAGGGTTTAAAATTAAGAACAGATGTAATTAGCACTTCCCGTGACAATTTTTAAAATCGAATCACTTAAGTACTGGTCGTTGACTAGTCAACATTTTTACCCAATTATTTTCAATCTAAAAATGTTAATTAAACACTTGAGTTCTCGTTTAAGTTTCAAAAATTGATAGAGCTCTGGAAAATATTAAAAAAAGGCAAATATTTAGTGTTAATAATATATTATTAAATCTTGAAATTATTAAGTGTTATCTTTATAGATAAAAATAAATAAAGTTCTGTTTATTTCAGAGCTACAACTAGAAAATAATTTGTTTATTTGTTTAATTGGCCAAATAATTTGTTTATTAATAATTTAGAAGCTTATATTAAAACACAATGTACATAACAACAGTGTAATAATAATAAATATATTACAATTTTAAGTAGTATAATATTGTGTTTGCATAATTTATAGTGTAATATTTATTTGAATTTATTTAATAGTATTATTTATTTTTACTTTTTGATACTACCGTGGTACGCTCATGTATATTAATTGCCTACACGCGGTGCCCTCGCGGTTACATGCTAATTTATTACTATTGAAATACTACCTACAATAATAGTCGGTCAAATTATGTGTGTCGATCGTTAAAATTACCATAATAATATAATATTGATATTTACACGCCTCAAGAGGGTTTTTTTTTTAGAGAAAACTGCCATCGTTCAGAGTATGACTTGTTATGTAATTTATTAATAGTTAAAAAAAAACACAGTTTTCTCTTGGATAGTTTTTTAATCATAACAAACGATTATTGTCAATGGCGTTTTATCGTCGGCCTATAAATCACGTGCTACTCGTTATTCGATTGTTGGTCGCTGCTCGCAGACTAAGAGTACAAAATATGTGAACCATAGAAAATACTAATATCATGTCCAAAGTGATAATCACGTTCAATTCACACCGCATTGTCGAGTATGACCTCAATCCCAATTGAACATCCGTCCACAGCCCTCGCGTTCTTTGTTTGATGCAAATAATATAATACACTATAACATTATAACACAACAAAGCCAATCATATTACCACATAACAGTCCCAACAAATAATCACACACACACACACCGTGTGTCTTCGACCACTTGATATATATTGTAATAAAATTCAACACAAGTCAACAACTAGTGTTTTCACTTGACAAAAATCATTATTGAACTTGGAGTAAATTTAGTTTTGCTGATCTCCAATTCCATACCAGTGTTCTGCTGCAACACTGGCAGCCCAGTGTTACCGCCATAGTCACAATAATTTCAGGACCAGACTGTTTAATATTGTTCAGGTAACCTCAAAAGACCACAAAAAAAACTGCAGTTGTAGTCTAAAATTAAAAAAAAAAAACGACCAACCATAAATATTTTAGATACTATTTTTTTCTCATTTATTTGATTATTAAAATTTTTTTTTTTTTTACACCAAACGCGCAAAACGTTTTGCTATATATCAATAATAATACCTATATAATAATAATAATATCAATAATAATAATATGTAACACTCGATTAAAACATAGTTTAATAATATAATCATGAAATGTACATCACACGATTTTTCTTTTTTTTTTTTTGAGGAAACTGTCAAACAATTAATAATAATAATAATAATAATAGTTCTACACGAAGATAGCTAATGATAATATATATATATATATATATATATATATATATATATATATATATGTATATGTATATATATATTTATCGTTCTACTTGTACACGGTTAATAAGACAAATATATTATAGTAAAAATACACATGGAAAAATTATTACAAGAACAGCATTTACTAACGGATATACTATGTACACGAAAAATATTATAATATGTTTAGACAGATGAAATCGCTTGTTTTGCAGAGAAAAAAACATATCTTTGGTACCTTAGGTTAGGGGGCGGCCGTAATCTAAATATTAATATATAATAATATATACAAAAAACTGAATAATTATATAGATAATTAGTATTATATATTATAATATATGAGAACTCGGTGAAAACGTTATCTCGCTGGAAAAGAAAACAATAAGAAAAATAATAATAACAATTTTTTTTATAACATTTTTTTATTTATTTTTTTTTTATGGTAACTGTGCGAGAAAACGCCCCTTCCGTTAAAGCTACAATCAATTATTATATTGCAAGAAACGAATCAATGGCCAATATATATATATATATAGGTAGGAAGAACATTAGAGCACAGTATGACCAACTTAGCCCTTCACACGCCTAGTGTCGTTGGAGTGCCTAAGGAAAAAGCTATGGGCGGTAATGGGGGGGGGGGACGCAACCTATTTACAACACAACACTTACAAAATATTGCACGTGACCTCGAAAGCGCCAATACAATGATGATATAACTATTGAAGTTAAACTATTATAAAAAAAAAAATAATGAGACGATAATACCTACCTACACGTTATGACTTACAAAGAAAAGTTAAAAAAAAAAACAATTATAATAATAACCGTTTGTATGGACTAGATTCCGGCGCAAAGAGAGTTAAGTAAATTCAAAAAAAAAAAAAATTATTATTTTGTATTTTGAGAACCCCTGGCCGGAGCGATTGAGAAAAAAAAATCATTCAGGAACACGGACACCAAACGAAAGTGGACGCCTAGTTTACGCGTCGTCCGGCAGGTGTCGCTTGCTGTACTTGGTGGCCGAGCGGCCGTCCATGTCGGGCGACGGCAGCGATTCGGCCGAGGAACTGGTACCGCCCGGCGAATGTAGGGCCGACGGCGGGCTGTACCGGCCCAGGGTGGCCGTGGCGGCCGCCGCCGCCGTCGTCGTCTGAGGGTGCATGACGACGTGCTGCTGGTGCAGGTGCATTGCGGCGGCGGACGACGGCTGAGGAGGCGGTTGGAACGCGGCGGACGTGGTCACGTATCTGGGATACTGCGGCGGCGGCCACGAGAACACGGACGACGGCGGCGGCGGAACCGGAGCGCCCGGGTAACCGGCGGCGGCGGCTGCTGCGGCCGCGGCCGCCGCGAACCGAGCGTGCGTCTGCTGAAAGTGTTGCGAGCCGCCGTACAATATGAGCGGCGAGTGCATTCCGGCGGCCGCTGCGGCGGCGGCGGCCTGTTGTTGTTGTTGCTGTTGTTGTTGCTGCTGATGTTGTTGTTGTTGCTGTTGCTGTTGTTGTTGCTGTTGTTGCGAGTAATGACCGTTGTCGCATCCGCCGCCGGACGCCGCGGCCGCAGCCGCCACGGCCGCCGCTCGGTTGGCCGCGTTGTTCAGCATGTGAAACTGGGCGCGGGCCGCGGCCGCGGCGGCCAACATGAATCCCGATGTGGACGATCCGTTGCCGTTGCCGTCGTGGTCCATCGGCTGTCCCGGGTGGCCGCCGTTGTCCTGTGGCCAGAACATGGGCGTGGCCGCGCGGTTCAACATGTGCTGGTTGTACTGGTGTTCCAGGAACATCAAATCGACGGGATCTCTGGAACAATAACAAAAAAAAAAAAAGGTTGTTCACTCGTGTCGTTAAAGGCTGTTTTGTGATCAATTAAGTGTATTAGAAAAACAATTTCAGAAAAAGCTAAGCCTAGCGAGTTGGGAGCAAGTCAAATATGTAAATAAACCTTAAACATTTTCTTGCTTGGAACCCAGCCTAAACCCTTATAGTGTTTAAAAAAATGTTCCTTGCAGGAAGGAAATAGGATAATAAAAATAATGTCAACACAATGTGTTCTTATGGTCAACTGTGTTCATATCAACATTCATGTCAAACAAAGATAAAAACAGACATCATTTGGCCAAACGGAGAATGACTAATTTCCACTGTAAGTCCATACTGCTTTCGCGCTTCAACATAATTATTAATTACTCGATTAACCTACTGCTCGGAATCAAACTCAAATTAATATGTTGTAACGAAACGAAAGCGAAACGCATTGTTAACATAATTGTTATATTAAGGACCCGGTCGTTATTTTGGCGCGCGACTCCAGGATTAAACTTATGTAACAGATAAGCCGAATCCATACCCGTGGCCGGCACGTGCCAATTTGCCAACGATAACGACCCTTCTCTGAAAGTGTGTAGTGACATCTGTACGTCGGCCGAGTCTCAAACGAATTACAGTTTGTTATTATTTCAAAAACGATATCGATGGAGTGAACGAAAATAACGACGTCAATCTGTGTTCCGCCGAAAATATTAGCATTTAAAATGGATTAAAATAACGAAATACGATAAAAATAGAACTTTTCGTGGAAAATTGTCAGACTTTGGTTGGTAAATCGTTATTTTCGCTTGGAAAATTCTATTTTTAAACGTTAATCTTTTCGCGGAACACAAATTAACGTCGTACGATAATAGTGTCGTTTGCGAATGACAATAGCGATTGACAAATCCAGAACCTACAACCTACGACCGATTTTGTAGCTTTCTTAACGTTTTCGTTCAATAACGTCGTATCATATTTTTCAACACGGACCGTGTGTGTGTGTGTGTGTGTGTGCGTATTAATTTATACCGAAACCGGTCGTGGGTATATCCATTAGCGGTTATTATAATAACGTGCCGATGGATTCGGTCGCGTACGGCGGCGGGCCCTCCGGGAGCTTGGTGTTACATAAAATGTGTACACACAAGGTACCTGTACAGGTTATAGTAATAATAATATCGTGTGGAAGGTGCGAAGACGTTATTATTTGCCGGTCTATAATTTACGCGGACGTGTTAAAGACAACGGCAACAACAACAACAACGGCGGTCTCCAAAGGATAAGGAATAATAATCGTATAATTATCGTATACGAGCCCGGCCCAGCCTCGGTGTGTGCGCGCCCCCGAGCGGTTTTCCACCGGCTCGCACACACGAGAAATCACCGGTTTTAATAACATAATACTGTTATTATTATTATACGCTGACAAAATATTATTTCCACGCATGATAATAAAAACAATAGCGATTAAACTATTAACGTTTCACCGCCGGCAGTGGTATAATAATACCGTTGTCGGGGCCTAACCGTTAATAGAAACCCAAGCGATAATTATTCACGGTTTTCGATCACTCCCCGTAGACGGGTGTAGGAGAGCAGGCAGACGGGCAGGGGGCTAAGAGTTTATAGTCGCCGTGTAACATATAACGTTGTAATATCGGTAGTCGACAACCGGCCATAATGTATATAATATTATATTATATTTATTCTGAAAACGGCCACTAGCCACTTCCCGTGGCCAATCGCACAGAGCGACGGTTCTTCTTGACGTTTGATTGATAACAGATAAGATAATATGATCGAAAGGACAAGGAAAATCGGCCGTCATCGATGGAGTGGAAAAAACGTCGTTAATTTGTGTTGCGCCGAAAAGATTAGCATTTAAAACGGATTGAAATAACGAAATACGATAAAAATAGAACTTTTCGTGGAAACTTTAATTGGTAAATCGTTATTTCCTCATTGGAAATTATATTTTTAATCGTATTTCGTTATTTCCATGTTTTTTGAAACGCTAATCTTTTCGCGGAACACAAATTAACGTCGTACGATAATATCGTTTGCGAATGACAATAGCGATTGACAAAACCAGAACCGACCCTACAGCCGATTTTGAAGTTTCTTAAGATTGAACAACGGTTCTTCTTGACATTTGATTGATGAGATAAGGAAAATCGGCCGATTAGGGGATACAACCCGGGGAAATATAATTTGACTTATTTTTCCTCATTTAGCGGGGTTCCTTGACAATAATAATAGAATTATCCTCCTTCCAGCCCGAGTCCCTTCGCCTTTTAAAAAAAGGATGCTACTATAGCTGTTATGGGGACGATAATAAAGACCGTTGAGTTTATTTACATTTGGCACACCTATACGGTCGGTCGTCGAAAAGCGATGGCAGGAAAAAGTGCAAGTGTTGACACAAAAAAGGGAGGAGCGCGACAACCCCTGGGCGGGTTCGACTCCGGGGGGAATCTTCCCCGTTCAAACGAGAATCTATTGAATTATTATTTTTAGCCGTTGAAGATGTTGTGATGAAAACGGAACGGCAACGAAAACCACATTCGACAGCGATCAATGCAAAATCAAAGGCCACCGTCCGCCGGAATGTCAATTATTGCTGTTTGTACCTATTCGTGTGAAACGGGTTAGGAATAATAATACAATAGGTGTACACCAGCGATCGGCTGGCACTTCAAAGCGCTTTCCTTGCCACCCAGAAGAACGTTATGGCCGTTTATGTGCACCGTGCGGTAGTCATTAGAATAATAACATTGTTTGGCTCCCGAACGCCGCAGCATTGTCGTTGGCAGCTATAAAAACGAAATACATTATATATTTTTTTTTTCTTTACACACCGTCTAGTCGCGGTTGTTCATTAAAAAACGACACCCGGTCCAAAAAAAAAAACACCCCTAATAATAGTAATTGGGGTTTGACGCACACACACGCTGTCACTTATTCGGATAACAAATTCCTGTGGCTAAGCCTATTGGCACCGTCTGACACGAATACGTCAAACGATGCGAGGATGGTAAACAAGTATGGATGAGGTGGGGATAGGATGGTGAAATCGATATTTCCTGGATAACAGATCTGATGAAGACACAAAAAAATCAACTGATCATAAGTCACGGTGTATTTTAAGTCACTTCAAAACCAAATTAAACATTATTTTAAAAACTAACCTCTCATTCAGGGAGTGAGGGGGAATTTTTTTTTTTTCAACTTTGAGCGCCGATTATACTATTATAACACAACCTAATCGTGTCCATAACAAATAATAATAATATACAAATAACAACAATAACCGACCGCACGAATACCGTGGAACAACAATGTCTGTGTTTCGGGTGTAATTTATATTGTAACCGGCCAAAGCTTGACACGCGATGCGGTCTGCGTTTTTATTTAATATTGTTGTAATAATAATATTATTATTATATTGGACGTATAATATGCTGGCGTATTATTCGGTATCGACATGAAAAGAAAATATATATTAGGTACAATAATAATAAAAAAACCCAAAGGATAATAACAGGACACCGGTAAAGCGAGAATATCGGTCACCACATGCGCTCGTTAAGGGGGTCGAGGGGCCTAAGGGAGGATTTTGCGGGGAGGGTGTATCGCGTGTAAGACTATTTTTTTTTTTTTCATAACAACGTGTCAAAATGATAGGCTCGAAGGGCGCACACAAACCCAACACACAAACCGTACACACTTTATAGTAGTACATATAATGTGTCGGTGAACACATAAAAAATAAAATACCCATTCCGCGCGAGAGACTTGTTGTACTTAAACTGTACATGATATATTGTTGTTATTATTATTGTAAGAAAAAAAACTCACCTTTCCAGTTCGCCGAGCCGAGAAGAGTCGCGGAATCCTTTGGCGAACGGATTGCTGTCGATTTTCAATTTCGTTATCTGCAACAATACATTTGAACATAACGTTTAGAGCCGAGTAGAGTGAATCCTAATAGTTGTTCGAATGCTTTAAGTACAAGATACATTTTTCAGCCATTTTGTGTACCGATTTCATGGAAAGTAAAAATGCTACGTTACTCTTCCGTGACACGATTTGATAAATCAAAACAATAACCGTTCACAAAACGGCAGCCGACCATATTATGTTATGGAGTTTAGTGATTTTTCCCTTCCACGTCTTTTTCAAGACTCCATTTTTTTTTTTAGCCTAATTTATACCCAATAATGCGTTTTAAGCGACAAAATACAATTGTTGCGCGTTAAAATTTTTGATTCGGGCACGTGTGGAGTTTGTTAGAGTTAATTATTCAGTTCAGCTGTCGTGTGCAGCACTCACCAGTTGATTCTGATAAGCCGTGACGGCCGTGAACACGGTTTCTGGGAACACGAAAGACCGGTACTTCTCCGTCTCCAGGTCGGTCACCATTCCACGCCACTTGACCAAATGTATCCTGGGCTGGTACCGGTGCATCGAGTTGAGTATGATCTGCAAAAAAAAACGGCAAAGAAAATAATATTTAATACAACAAAATCATACTAAAAAGTCAGGTCGATTATTTTCGCCTCGACAATCGTTTAGAGGAACTTTATGATGCATTATAATAATAATAGCTGTGTTCGGTGTGCGACGAAAACCGGCAATTACCGCACAAACAGAGCGCAGTGTAGTAACCTACCTACATAATAATAATAATACAACACTATTATATATTGACACCTCTCTAGGTGTGTGTGTGTGTGCTATCTCTCTTCGGGTTCGAACCCGCCCTCTACCCGGACAACACCGCCGGGAAACGGCCTGAAAACGTTGAAATTGCCTTGGAAATGTGTTTAAGTAAAAAAAAAAAAATAATAATAAAAAAAATGTGCGCCGTAAGGCCGTAATGGGATTATATATATATAATATTATACAGAACACTGCGAGAACCGTCAATTGTCACTCATAATATTTCTGTGCACACCGGCCACGCCCATTTCCTAATTATCAGGTGTTGAACAAAAGGTTTCCACACACACCGCCGCCGCCGCCGCCTCTGGTAATAGTAATTAACCTCTCCGCCGGCACACGGTATTATACCTACTATATAACGTGTAATATAATATATTAATATTATTACTGTATACAACAACGACAACAACACGGGAGAATAGCGGAACACTCGTTGTTTTTTTTGTTTTTGCCGGTTAACCGCAATTTATTTTCCAAAAATACAATATAATTCCTTTAGAAAAAACAAAACAACAACAGATTATTCGGAAAAAAAAAATCGTACTTAAATCCGAATCTCTCAAGGCCGAAACAAACTGATAACGAATCGACCGCCAAAAAAATCCTACGACTGACTGACAGTGTTGCCAACTCGCTTTTTTCACATTTTTGTCCAACGCGAGTTCCGGTTAGGCCAGCTCTGTTGAACAAAGTGGTACTTTTTGCAGAGACAGTAATGCATTTTTTTTTTTGGGGGGTTTTTCCTCGCCGAATACAAAATATCTAATTTTGGCTGGGTTTTTCCGCGTGTTGTGTATACTTTTGGACAAATCTAAAATCAGTTTCGAATGTAGATTTTAATTTCAACCGCTAAACTCGGTTAGAGAACAATTAAACCAAGTTAATTTTGACCCTCTATTATATTGAAGACACTCTACATACACCGTTGCCAAAGATCTATTTGTATGCAAATTTATTCGAACGCCAACTGTTGTGAATCTAACTTTGAATATATCTTTAGAACTAGATAATATATAACGCTGCGGTGCGGTAACTTTCTTAGAACAAATGCGTCGAGAAATATCCTTTAAAAGCGTTTACTTAGGTTTTTTTCAGCTTTAATAGCTCCTTCCTCTTTCGGCCAAGTTCAAACCCAGCCCCACTGGGGGTTCTCCACTGCGGAGAAGGCTACTGAATTCGCGTGCATCATCATATTATTTAGTTAGGTACCTATAAAAAGCAGTGTTGGTCAGAGAAATTTGTCGACTGTCACGGCTGCCGGTTCGAAGAGTGTGTCCCCGCCGCGGGGGGGCCAAGCCGCATTCCAAGACTGGCGCGCGCGCTCACTATCAGTGTACGGAGGAGCACCTTAGGTATACATACACCTTTGTATAATAAGTGTACACGTATAGAGGTACAATAACACGGCACATGGAAGCTGACTGCATCATTATTACAGTAAGATAAAAAAAAAAAAAAAAGAGCTGCCGGACGAAGAGCAGGAGGAGGAGGAGGAGGAGAGTATATTATAATATGTACCGGTGTGGTCAACCTAACCTAGTGTACATTTTTTTGATATTTATGTTTTAATAAAATTTATAACTTATTATGTGTGTGTGTGTGTGTGCACATACTACGAGATAATATTATAATATAATGGGCGTTACACGACAACAGCTTTCACACACAGAAAATATATTTCGGCTAACGATTGTCGCCCAATTAACATGACAAAAGATTTATACACATTATCGCCGGTCGACACTTGTTGTTGTATAATATTATATATTATATCCTAACGAGTAGTGTCTCGGCCACTAGGTGTGTATATAATATCCCTACTATTATTGTGTATCTACCTCCTAGTATATGTATGATGTGTACACGGTCAGGAAATTTCATAATAATAATATTATTATTAATGTTTACTTAAAAAACTAACGAGCGCCGCGACGGTCGATGCTTTTTTTTTTGGCGACTGGTGTTTTTTTCTTTTAATGCTCTTAGGCGTTAGTAATAAATACACACATGATGGGTAATATATTGTTTTCGACCGGCTATCCGGGAAGCCTCGAAAAACGTGTCATGACCGTTTCGTGTGTCAAAAGGTAAGTAATCCGATCGGTCGGACCGAGACCTTAAAAAAAATAATAAAAAAATTTAAGAAATATTATAAAGTAATAACACACATCATATTCGTGGTCGTGTCTCCCCCTCGTGCAATAGTAGTAAGTAAGAGGGTCGAAGGTAAAATATAATAACTCGGTTAACACCTTTGCTGCCCCGGTGGTAGTAACGAGATTAGGATATTATATTGTAGAATATATAGATAGGTGTCGTTGTTAAAAACGGATGAGAAATGTAATATTATAAACTTTTGAAACGACGGTTCTTTTTTTTTTTTTTTTTCGGGGGCCAAAAATATAAGAAACGAAAGACTGTGTGTAATACGACGTCCACCTCGACACGTTCGCAGCGGTCGGATTAGTCATTAATATCTCCAACGTCTAGTCGACACGGTTTTTTTTTTATTATTCTTTTGGGGACATACACACATACAGGGTGATCAGTCTCTGTGATGTAACACTCGTAGGTACACAATATTTGTTACTATTTATTTGTCAATACTCTGAAAGTTTTCAACTACCATCCCTTGTAATAAAATGTGTAAGAGGAAATGTCATAACTCTACAAAGTCACGGTAAACATAGCTTTTAAATGTAGGTATAAGGGATGAAGATAGAGAAAACGTTTAAAGTATTCATATTATTTTTTCTGAGAAAACATCGGTGTCTTACATCGGGGATTGATAACAGTCACCCTGTATAGCGATCCCGCATCTCTCAACGCTTTGCCCGTCAACCGTCCCGAAAAACGACCTATACACCAGCTCTACCAGAGTGTATAACCCGCTTCCTATTAAAAAAAAAATATATATATATATATATTTTCATACGGCATTATTGTATTGTCAAAACGTTGACAAACGCGATGGCTGTCAAAATCTCCGGCGTGCGGTTTCCGATTTCCATTCTCAGGCGAGTCCACGAGCATTTTTGTTTTTTTGTTTTTTGGCATAGCTGTCGTGTGTGGCGAGCCACGTAGCTTTCAAAGGAGTTCGAAAGTGAACAGAATTATTATTAGTCGACCCCGATATAGTGGAATCGATGGAAGGATAAGCTAGACAATGTCAACAAAAAGGAGGTTGCTTTATCAACGCTTGGACAGTAAGAGAGAAAACTCATGCTTGCATTAAGATAAATTAATGAAAAATGTATTTGCTGACCACGTAGCAATAGAATGTTAGGAACTATTGAAGAAGCTATGGCAAACGAACTAAATGTGAAAATAAACGCGAAGAAGGCCAAAGTCCTTGTGTGTAGTAGGATTAAAAACACCAGGACAAGAATACATCTACTAAGGAATCTGGAAATTGAGCAGGCGGACTCACATACCTTGGGAGTACAAATTCTGGTGGAATTAGCAAAGAGGAAATAGCAAAGTGAGTTATGCCAAGCTAAAATTGTATTCAACAACGTTGACTACGTTTGTAGTATAATGTTTTATGGCAACGAAACGTGGACAACTGCTAAAAAAGAACAAATAAGGATAGAAACGCTGTGGTGGTAGAGAAGATTGCTCAAGATATGTCTATGACTATGGTAATGTATTCGGAAAAAAAGTGATAAATGGATTGGCCATGATTGAAGCGTGGCTTGAATACTTGGATTTATTATAGAAGGGTGTGACGAGGAAGGTAAAAACCACAAGGGATGACCAGGATTGGAGTATATTCGTCAAAGAGTGATGGACGTACGAATTAATTAAAAGGAAGTAATAGTGAATCATTGAGATTGGCTGCTAACCTTCGGATTGATAACAGAAGAGAGGGTCGACCTGATGAAACCACCAGCGTCCGTTGATAATAGCTAGAGTACATTTTATAGATCAGGTTATGTGAACAGACAAAGGCTATGGTTCGTATCTGCACCACCTTGGACATTCATCAGAACTCTTATAACATTTCATGTGGCGACAATTGTGTTCTGCGAGACGAGCCCAAGGCTCTTGGCCGTACCCAAGGAGACTATCCAACAACCTAACCTTCTTCTTCTTTTCTAAAGACTAAGCCTTGTCATAGCAAAAACATAGACTTCCACTTTTCTCTCACGAATGCCAAAGTCTTCAACTACGTGAGTACCAGTTACATCCAGCCATTTCAATCATCTCTCCTATGAATGTCTTCCTTTGCGTCCTATCTCGCCTTTCCTAAACTCAACCTAACCTTAGCTATCTTAAGCCTCAAGGGCCGTGGGCGTTTTTTCCCCGGAACGCAGCAATGCTTCAGGAGAAGCTAGCCGGCCCAGGGGAGCTAATCTGATCTAGTTTGCACTCACTTGTCCGCTGATGTCCATCTCGTTGTTGGTGAGTTTGACTTTTTCGAACGACACGAACGTCTTGTGTAGCTGGTCTCCGGTGAACGGCGAGTCGGGATGCGTGTACAGCCGGTGCGGGGCGGGAGGATCGGCTTTGCCGGCCACCAGCCACGAGGACTTGTGATAAGCGTACCGGTACCGTTTGTTGTCGACCGGCACGATGTCGATGAGCACCGAGTACTTTTGGTTGGGATCCAATTTCCGGAAGCACACCCGCAACGTCGGGAACATCCGCCTGTAAGCCGAAAGATTACATTATTATAAAAAAAAAAAATAATAACGATCAATTGATTTGTGTATTCGTATTTTGTTTTGTAGACGACGGTCCGAACAGCAGCAAAACACCTGCGGCCGAGAGTACCGTGGAAGTATAAAAAAAAAACCCCGGTAAAATATTTTAAATTATAAAATATTACCAACGCAGGTGAACGGGTTAATTGTTGTAATGTCGGTCGAGTCCGAAATTATGAATTATTGTAATCGGTCGCCTGCTCGCGTCGCGGCCGGTAGCTTAATGTGTATATAATAATAATAATAACGATACGCGCGCATAATAGTGTTTATTAATAAACCCTCCACCCGGCCAACCGAGTGGTAGTCATTATCGTTACAAGCCTCTCTATACCAAAAGGTATATACGTATGTTTCATCATACAAGAGGAGCTCTGCGAATTAACCTAATAGCACCGGCTTGGCCGGGTGAAAACGCCGGAGGGGAAGGACCGGGCTCAGGTGTGTTCGTCGCAATTCGTCCATATATTTTTCCCCTTTTTAATCCTCCCCGACCGCGCCCGCGTTTTAGCATAATACGTCAATGGACGATGGTTTTTTTTTTGTTATCATATGGTTTAATCCACCGGCGTTCCCCATATAAACTAGGGTGTCGATTAGTAACTGTAATCAGCCGAGTGATTTTGACCACCAGAAGCCCACTCTGTTTCACACAGGTCACTGTAAATCAATCAAAAGCCCTGCTCCGAATTTTAAACTCAACCTTAATGGTAATTATTCGAAAAAACTGACTAACATCAAATCGAGTTGCTAGACGAAAATCGCCTAAATAATATTTAGGCAGAGCTGATTAAGTGACCGGTTAAACAGCTTACACACGGGACTTGTTAATCCGTAAGACAAATTACAATACAGGTTTACACGACGTTATACACTAACGCGCATTTGTACACGGGAAAAAAAATGGAAAATAACATGTTGTAATGCGGAATGGTAAGCGGAGAAAAAATGCATTGTTAAAACAACAGCAGCTGTTCTGTTTGTTCGTTTAGTATAAACCATGTACACACACACACAAGGTATTGACCAAAGTTAACGTGCTCGATTCTTACTGTCCAATGAATGATTCGCACACGAGCATAATATATTGAAAGTGAATTACTGACTTTTAGTCATTCCTGTAGACCCGTGACCTCTACTCGTGCCCACTATGCCCTGACCCCACTGTACTGTGGGGTTTCCCGTGTAAATCTTATCTCGTTCAATTACGACGCTGTACGGTTTGGCCTTGTAAACGTCAACGACTAGAGCTGCGGATTAAAGAATATCATGTTTGAATATTTTGCGTTACGTAATCCCCCACCGGATTCGGACAAATTGGCAAATTATAATATTGAAAATAAAAATATCTCAATTAATCGTTAACGGCTATAAATATTGTTTTCGCGCAAACAGGCTCGTCCTTGGATCGAAAAACCGATTAGGCGTTTTCAAATAGAGCCGCGCTGTGCACAATAACGGCAACGGATTTTCTACGGGATTCCCGCCGTCGACAGGGGTACCCTGGCCGCAGTTTGTGGACTGGCGGACGGTAAACCACCGCAAAGGTACCTCTGTTGACGGCGGGAATCCCGCGTTGAATCCGTTGCCGTTCTCGTGTATACCGTTGTTTATCTGTGATTTTTAACGCTCCAAATCTCTTTGGCGTCTCTCTAAAAAGTTCTATCCAATCACTAGCCCCGCCTGGTACGAACCGCAATCGCTAAAACCGGCGTGGTTGTAGAAACACAAACACAAAAAAACTACAACCGACGGTTTGACAGGTCCGGAAAGTAGATATAAAAAAAATTGGTTGACATTTGTTCACGTCGGAAGGCCAGCAACAGGACGCTGGCAGACCTCACGCTGCGCTCTCCAACCGGTGCAGCACAATTCCACAACGGTTGTTCTCTTCCTTAGCAGCCTTGTTGGACGTCATAAATAGTGTATTATCCTATCCATAATAATTATTACTAGACGTGCATACGATTATTACAGTTAATCGTAAACACGGGGGCACCACGTTAAGGAGGACCGGCAGACGTTTGGAAATGTATACAAGTGGCCAATAGCAATAGCATGATAGTTTATCGTGTAACAACAATATTATAGTAATTCTCGTTATGTGTATGTGCGTTCGCGTGTGTGAAGAAGTCTAATGTTATTGTACAGACAGATAGCTGATAGGGATCTCTGATCAGCTTGATCGGGTGTGTGTGTGTGTGTGTAGTTGCGCTGGAGGGATTTAGAGTGAAAATCTCCGGTTGTCGACTACAACGTTATTGTACAACGACCGTTTTCAATCAACGTCGCACATTATCCGAGATCCGAATCTAAATCGATCCCGTGTACACAGAGGTACACAACAGCGACCGTGCCCTTGCGACGACGGTGCTCGTCGAAAATCACTCACCGCCATAATATTATAAACTTAGGTACCTAGAACACAAGCAGATTGCGGTTGACCTCTACTGCAAGGGTAGAAAATCATCGAGTCCTTGGATTTGTCTTTGGTTTCAATCGCACACTTTGCAAATTTGTTCAGTCAGCTGTACAGCATTAAACTGGTGCGTAGGGCGTTGTTAAAATGTGTATTCGGTAATGAAAAAATTTGCCTTTTGATTACAATATTTCCTATTCAGAACCACGGAATTCCGTTTGCGGGGGCGACTCCAACGGTTGCAGATGTCCGTGCTGCGGATAGGTGTAATTTCGGTATTTCCTGAGGTATGACATCCCGCTGGTTAGTGTCACGACCAAAGTCGTTAAAGTAGTCGACTGACCCGCCGTCGCGTATGCAAATAAGAAGCCGTAAACAAGTGACGATAGTACCTCTATTGGTCGTTTACATTACTATATAGGTAATAATAATAATAATATTAAGTGTCACAATTGATGAAAGCAATAAAACGGCGAGAAACCGACCGTCCGGCCATCCGCGTACACACAGGGTGATCCGTCGCTGACGGTATATTTTACTGTTATTTTTTATATGTCAATACTTTGAACATTTTTCATGTTCCGGTCGAAAACCGGGATAAGGGACGAAGATCATGTTATAAATTCGGTCGAGTATTTGCTTTTAAAAAATTTAGTAAAATATTATTATAATTAGAAAACTAGCGTCTTACATCACCGACGAGGATCACCCTGTATATTGTTGTTTTTTTATTAATTTTTTTAGCCGTTGAAAATGATTGTAAACTCGTTAATTTTTCGGCGGCGACCGAACGACACGACTTAATATTTTTCCTCGAAACCACTACTACCGACAATAATAATAATATTTTAACGCCGATTGTTTTATGTATCCGGTGAGTGAGTGAGTGAGCGAGTGTGCGTTTGTGCCGACCGGAATAAAATACACACACACAAGTTTGTCGATTTGTTTTATTTTATTATTATTATTTAGGTAGTTATTTATTAACGCGGTGTTTCGGCAACCAATACAGCCGGTTGGGGCGACGGTGTTAATCAATTCGCCGCAGGTCGTTTCCCCGGCCCGGTAGTTACCGAGTGGGTTTTACATGTCGTAAAATATATAATGTATATGAATTTTTCCGAACACCAGTTGCTGCTGCTGCTGCTGTGGTGTACCAGACTTGTGTGTAAACTCGAGCTGAAATTATCCGCGCAAACGACAGAAATCTCACCGTCGTCGAATCGTTAATCGAATCTACTGGAGGAAAAACGGATTGAGCATCTATTTGCTGAAAATTTCGACTGGTCGATTGACCAGTATTCAGTCAATCGCTATTAAAGTTGTTGAAGTTTTGCTCCCTTGCTGAGTTTAAAACACTTAGGGACAGTCAACGTTTTCAGCGAATATTTGGACAACTGTAAAAGTTCAAAATGTCCTTGTAAGACATTGACTGGGTACACAGCTAAGCAATCACTCTGATCAGGCAAAATGTATTTAAGTTGATGAATTTAAACGGTTCCATTGATGATACTTGACGGCATCGTCGTGTTGGGCCGACGCAACCGTGTCATAATGGCTTAGTAATGATGATGATATTATTGTAATGGTTGTACTGGCACGGTCCAAAAAGGGTATACAATATGAACCGAAGAATATTGTTCAGCGTTTGGGTTATTCGTGTCCGCTGATGTGTGTTGGCGTTGACAAGGGACGCCATTGTGTGGTGAATTTATTTTTTTCTCCAAAAATGCTGTCTGCCCCGAGTGTGTAATGTGCCACGTCGTTGAAAGGTTTATTGGACCGAAGTGGACGCGAAACAGAAAGGGACACGCGTCAAATTCCGAGACGTTTTATCATTGTATTCCACAAGATAAGTGTAACAAGGGTTGGCTTGTTAATGCGTGTCGTGTAGTTGTTGTAGTAACACATTCGTCGTACTCGAGCGTTGCCTTTTCGTATTGACGTTTTTCAAAATGACAGAACCCGTTATTGCGAACATCATGCGACGCCTCTAGTCTTTTAGTACACTTTAAAACGTGTATCGCCCACAGAAATCTACTACAAACACACTGGACGGCGATAAAATGTTTTCATCAACGCCCAGGTAGCACACACGTTTGTGTTGAGCGTTTAAATTGAATTCGAAACAGATTTGTATAAAAACATAGGTAGACGGGAGTTCCGCATATTTTGGAGAAGTGCTTGAGAAGACAATCTAACCCAAAATAAAACCAATCAACAAACAAACAAACCAAACCTAACTACTAAATGCCAAATTTGCTGAATCTGAGAAGAAGAAAAAAATGTAAACGCTTAGCTCAAGACTGAATATGATCCAGAAACTAAGTAATAGAGTTTATGAATTTAAAGTTAGTAACCTTATTCCACAACCTTAGCTTATTGTTCGACTTTGTTTCTCCGATAGGGGTGTTAAAAATAATGTAAAACTTGGACATTACTTAAAATTAGTGCTCCATTTGTTTTTACAGCAAACATAACAATATGTGTTATTCATTTTTGGCAGCTCTGCGTTGAACCTATTG